ATCACTAATTGAGTGAAAATATTTGGGTCGATTCATAATTTTACTGTACTTATAATATTTTTACTCAATATTACAACTATGTAGGGTCTCTATCTATCTTTACATGGCCGCCATTTTGTATCCCAGCTGCCATATGCTGGCAGACGTGCATTTTTCTTATCAGGCCTGTGGATATGATCAATTTATAAGAACAAACCTTAGTATGAAATATGACACCTTTTTTTGCCACGGTCTCCCGGACTATTACAAATCATTATAACTTTATTATTAAACAGTGATATATAATCCATATTTATAGCGTGATTAGAACGGGGTGTATAGTCAGTTAAATTATCAAACGTCTTAACGTAATGGAATAAGATTGAAAGTAAAGCAATAGAGACAGTTAAGGAAGTTTTCCCACCATCGGAGCGGCTAAAAGGGAATTATTTTTGCTTCACGGGCAGTTTGAGACGGCTAATCCGGGAAGGGTTTGGATCGGACGTAACCTAGGAGTAGGAGGGTAGATGCTGCGCCGATTGAGATCGATGACGGTGTATTGATTTGACAATCGATATGTGTGTAAATATAATCGATTGTTCAAATAATTAGTTATCACATGCTAAGGTTTGGCCATATTAATTGACCGTTTCCACAGACCTAAAAAGAAAAATGCACCTCTGCCATCTTGTAGCAGAGGTTTTCCGGCCATCGCTTTGACTACAGTTTTACTGTTGCCTGCTGCAGATCGAAAAGTTTTATATTAAATGTTGAATATTTATGTTAATAAATAAATAATAATTAATTGAAAGTATGAATGACCACTTTGAAAGTAGTAATTTAGATTGTATTATTTAAATAATCATAACTTGATCAACAACACAGAATTTACATTGCAGATAGACGAGTTTTCAATTCAATAGTTATTTAATTCCTTTCTCAAATATATGAATATTTAAAAATATAACAAGAGTTTATAGATATAAAATATTGAATTGAATTTATTTGTTAAAGATTATTTTACAATCTTGTACAAATCATACTTATATGAATAACTTTATTTCACCTACATGAGTCTAGTTTATCATAACTGTACATTGACTGACTATAAAAACAATAACTAAACAATAATACTTCATTACATTCCAATTAATTTCTATCTACATTATCAATAAAACCAAAAAAGAAAAAGAAAAAAGAAACAAACAATTAATTGAGCTGACCAACAATTATCCTTAGTCATAGCACTGATTGGTGTGTGGAACATCAGAGCTTAAGGAATCCAGTGAATTGCACGCTGACATTATGAACCAGTAAATCTTGTTAAGTTTCTCTATGTTATCGATTCGAAGTATGTCTTGTATCTTGTTTACATCACTTGGCGCAGAGAGAAATGCTCGTAAATGTTTGTGTCTGTCGTCTGTTAGCTTTTCACAGTACAGAAGGATATGGAACAGGCTGTTAGAAATGAATTGGTTACAGAAAGTGCAGGTTTCCTGGGCTTTGAAGTAGAAATTTTTGATTTTCGTATAGAGATTAATTAATTCGGGATTTGAAACCCTTAACTGACTTATTGATCTTAGCTTTTTCATGTTAATCTATACATCAAATAGGACTCTGGCTGGAAATATTGAAACTGGAAATAGTTCTATATATGGAATTGTTGTTGGAATTTATGGATAAATGGATGTCCTTAGATAGTTTATGGTTTTTTAGCTTTTCCAATATTTCATCGCTGTATTTTAATAATCCAGTTGGGTATACTTTATCGAACTCTTCTTTACAGCCATAATGAGCAGCTATTGATCTGACTTGTGTGATCCAATTAAAGTTTATATCAGGATTCCTTGTATCCAGCAAGATTAATTAGTTGAAGCAAAGCCTTGGTAACCTCTCTTCAGGCATAAGCGACAATTTAGACCAGTAATTTATGATCCTTCTCATAACCCTGACACTCAAGGCGTTTCGGCCAGTTTCTAGACGTCAATGTAGTTGGCAGTATTCCTTGGCCACCTAAATAGTTGCTTCAGAAACTTCAGCTGTACCACTTCAATAGCATCCAGGTATCTTAAGCTCCATATTTCAGAAGAATACAGAAGGGTTGAAGACACCATAGATTCAAAAAGAGCTTTTGTTGTCTCCCATGAATCGCTTCTACCCCTTCGCAAAATCTCCAATACTTTTCCCGTGGCAACAGAGGACTTCTGTATAAAATGCTCAGATGCCTTACTAAATTTTCCTGAGGAAGTGTATAGATATAAAATATAAAAATTATAGTTGTTTAAAAATAATAATTTATTTATTGGTTTAATATCATTACTATTGTTTTTATTAATCTCTTTCTTTAAAATAATTATTGATAATAATAGACCATAGTCCGTGACACAGACCTCTTTTTATCAAATTATTAACATCCGTCTGAAACTTAGTAAATAGATTGATCTCATCTTAACCTACAAGTATTTTATTTCCGAAAATTCTCGGAATTCGGACATTTTCAATTTGGAGAACGAAAAACTTTATATAAATGTATTAAAAACTCATGAATAACCATTTGCTTTCCACTTGAATCGTAAGATGATATGATCAAAAAGTCGAAAAGAAAGGTGGCCTACAAAAATATTGATGTGTTTGGTGTGACCTACACCCCGAAAAAATTAAAACAACGGAGTTGTTAGGCCAAACATCCCAATATTTTTATAGGCTTCATTTTTTTCTTTCGATTTTGTGATCATATTATCTTACGATCCAAGTGGAATGTAGATCCATCCAGAGTTTTTCTGAGTTTTTCCGATAATTTGATAAAAATGGGTCTATATAACGGACTATCATTACAAATTTCTTTTGTGAATAACATTAATTTTATTTAAAATTCTGTAAAAATTAATCTTAAAAAAAATTAAGAGGACACATTTTTACTTGGTCATAATATTTTTAAGAGGAAATTGATAAATTCAATTTGGGAGAACTTTCAAACCAAGAAACTAGCGAAAATACCACACTTTCATAATTTCAATAATTATGAACAACAATCAATAATTTCACTTTCATTTGACCGTTTTTAAGAAGAGAGACGCAAAAAAATTTCTTGGGGGAGGGAGGAAGTACCCTTGCTTAAATTCCTCTTTCTTCCAGAAGTTTCATTGTAGAATGGTGGGATTTCTCCCAAACGTTTTACAGTTTTTTTTTTTTCATCACACTACTGCATAAACCCGTATTGCCCTGGCGGCATGGGAGGGTGGAAAAATAAATAAATAAATAGTTTTTTTTTCTCAGCTTGATAATCCTAAAATATAAAGTACTCAAAATTGCCATAATTTATATTACTTGTGTCATGGTTATAATTATAACTAAAGTGATATTCTCAACTTTTTAAAATATTTATTTATTTATGTATATATTTTTTATTTCTCTTTATTACCTGTATTTGAGTAATGGACACACTAATGTAATACTTTTATTTATATTCTGCATTTATAATTTGTTCTAAAGGTGAACATGGATAGAAATAGAAACATTTATTCTGGGACGATGACGATGAACAGTTACAAAAGAAAAAAATACATATCTGGCCAAAAACTACCTTAATAAAGATTCAGTATATACAACAACTTAAATAATAGTATTGAATATTTAATAGTTGACCGTTGCATTATAAAAGAAGGAGATGGTCCGGGGTGACGGTCAGGTAAGTGTGTTCAGCTAGGAGTTTCGCTTAGAACTTGGTGGGTTCTAAGCGAAACTCCTAGCTGAACACACATCCTTGAAGAAGACCTGCAAAGTCGGGTCGAAACGTTGGCTTTTAATAAAATAGTTGTCTCACTATTTAGCCAATTTATAACCCCGGACCATCTCCTTCCTAAATAATAGTATGTAAATAACTAAAAAATAAAAAAAATCTTCTCAACTATAATTATAATTGTACTGGAAAAAACAACAAAAAAAGAATTACATGTACAGAAAGAAAAAGTAAAACCCCTAGAAAAGAAAAAATATCAAAAGTACTTCAATAAAAAGTATTGATATTTATATTAAAACATACAAAATATATACTTAGTAAATATAAATATTAATGACAGTAGATGAGCAATGGGATTACAATATTGCATTATCCCGGCATAAGAGATATAAAATAAGAATAAATGTATATGTGCATTTTCTACAACAGAATCCAATAACAATTTTAATAAACTTTAATGGATATTTCAATGTTGGTACTTGTGATCGAGGCGGCCTCTATGGACTGCTATCTGCAGTTATCTTATTATTTAAAGTGTTGTTGTTGTTATTTATATTTCTTATTATTAAATTACTATGCTATTATTATATTTATATTTCTGATTTAAAAAAAGAATATATTTATATATATATATATATATATATATATATATATATAAATTAGAAACAGGCAAAATAAAAGCAACACCAAATATATTTATATTTCTTATTATACGAGAGTCTAATTTCATATGAAGATAAGGATTATTTAATAATAATAAGAAGCATTAATTTAATAGTGAGAAATATATATATTTTTTTCCAATCCCTCTGAAACAAAAGAAAACATGAGATCAGTGTCATATTCGGACCAGTGCACTAGCGGAACGATACCCTGAATTACCTTAACCTTTTTCTACCTGCGGTATTTGAAGGAACGTTGTAATGATTTGGAAAGATACCTCTTCCTGCTCACTTAAGGTCTTGTTGAGGTGTTTGTAGATAAGGGTACTCCGCTCGTTTAATGATAAATATATAAAATAAATAAAATAAAACATAAAAGATAAAATAGGGGGCGGGGAGATATAGAGATACGGATAAGGGATGGGAGGGGAGGAGAAATATAAATAACAACAATACTTTAAATAACAAGATGACTGCAGATAGCAGTCCATAGAGCCCGCGTCGCTCACAAGTACCAAACTCGATTACTGTCAATCAATCAGGTACAAGTATCGATTCATGTAAGGTCTTCAGAAGATTGACTATTCTTTCAAATCTGGGTAGCTCTTCGTTTTTCAATCTTAATATACTCGAGACACGAATTGTGAAGCGGCCGTCGAGTTGATGAGGCAAGAAGGCACGAACTCTGCATACTCTAGAGTGCTGCGGAAGGAGAAATACGTCGAGCAGAAGGTGGCAGCGAGACCGACGACAACGACGGCGATGAGGAAGAAGTGCTGCCTGCGGTCCGGAGGAGGTATGGACAGCATCCCGATTGAGCCGTATCCAGGAGTCGATGAGGACATGGAGCGCAGCCTCCAGTAGAGCAGCGGGGGGAAGAGGAACATGAGCTGTCCGGTGAGGGCCCCCCCCACCAGACCCATCAGCAGCTCTGCCCGCGGCACCGCCTCCCCCACCGCCACCGCCAGCAGCACCGTCCCCGTCCGGAGCGCCGCCCGCCGCCAGCCGAACTCTGCAAAGTAAAGAGCGACATTAGGGATAAGATAATTATGTATGTATCCAGTACATTATGGTGGATAATGTCATGTATCCAGTACATTATGATGGATAATGTCATGTATCCAGTACATTATGATGGATAATGTCATGTATCCAGTACATCATGATGGATAATGTTATGTATCCAGTACATCATGATGGATAATGTTATGTATCCAGTACATTATGATGGATAATGTCATGTATCCAGTACATTATGATGGATAATGTCATGTATCCAGTACATTATGATGGATAATGTCATGTATCCAGTACATTATGATGGATAATGTCATGTATCCAGTACATTATGATGGATAATGTCATGTATCCAGTACATTATGATGGATAATGTCATGTATCCAGTACATTATGATGGATAATGTCATGTATCCAGTACATTATGATGGATAATAATAATTGGTAAATGGTTGACTGTCGTGGATGAATGAAGAGAAGAATAGTTGGGGTGGTCAGTCAAAAAAGAAGGCAAAAATAAATGATAATATTTATTTTTACATATGCCGACGTTTCGACCTGAAGTTCAGGCCATCACCAGGGCTAAGAAAAGAACCAGATAACAAGGTATGAGAAACATAAAAATTACAGTAAAATGAAGTTGTTAGAATAATGACAATAGTAAGAACAAGAGACAAATAATAATAACAGGTACAAAGTGTGGAATGATGAAGTAAACATAGTCAAAAAGGTGACATAAGTATTGTAAAGGGAATCTTAGAATAAAATGTAAAACAGAAAAATATGAAGTTATATAAGAAATGGAAATAAATAGTAAAATTAAGATATAGTGAATAGAATATTTAGATAGAAAATTGAGATGTTGTAAAGTCTATCAATATGTACAGACAAAGTATGAAATAATAAAGAGTTAAAACAGAGAAAAGGAATGAAAGGAAGGAGGAGAGAAACTGAGAAGGTTGAAATAAGAAAGAGAATAAGTAAGAGAAATGATAACAACCTGACTGCTCTAAGGTAAAAGATGCAATGCTCGTGTTATTGAAGGAGGGAGGTGGATAGAAGGGATGTATAGTGGCGTCATCTCCAACGGTTATCTGAAGAAGTTTGAACTAACGTATCGGAAGCGTAAATAAGAACGAGAGATATATTATTATTTGTCTCTTGTTCTTACTATTGTCATTATTCTAACAACTTCATTTTACTGTAATTTTTATGTTTCTCATACCTTGTTATCTGGTTCTTTTCTTAGCCCTGATGATGGCCTGAACTTCAGGTCGAAACGTCGGCATATGTAAAAATAAATATTATCATTTATTTTGCCTTCTTTTTTGACTGACTACCCTAACTATTCTTCTCTTCATTATGATGGATACTGTTATGTATCCAGTACATTACGATGGATAATGCTATGTATCCAGTACATAATGATGGATAATGCTAAGTATCCAGTACATTATGATTTTTGTTTATTTAATGGAATTTACAACTGTATACAAATACCACTGTTAAATATGCGCAAATATAAATAATGGCATGTACAGGCTTGAAGAGTTACTACCCAGTGGTAAGATCACGAGGCCATCTTCTTTTCAGACGCCTAGGAGGATTATCAGGAATCGAGGAAGAAGCAAGAGTGGAAACAAGCGGATTTGGATGGGACTGAAGTTTATCATGGAAGGATAGATATCTGGCTCGAGCTAAATCAGCGACATATGGTACCTTAAGGTCTTTATGAATGGTTTTATTTGTGACAAAGTATGGAGCATTAAGGATTTTACGGAGGATTTTGGATTGTAAGGATTGGATAAAATAGGAATTCGATGGTTTGGTGGAGCCCCAAAGCTCAACTCCGTATGTCCATATAGTTCTTATTATAGTTATGTAGATAAGTCTTTTGTTATTAATAGAAAGTTTGGAGCGTTTGTCTAGTAAGTGGTGGAGCAGTCGGAAACGTCGAGCAGTTTGTTGTCGTTTCAGTCTAGTATGAGGATTCCAAGTAAGACGTTTATCCAAATGGAGCTAAAGGTGAGAGAAAGGTTGATTTGATATTTGGTTTATTCTGAAACAAATAAAATATATGAGAAGGAGTTAATCGGGAGGTGCGGTCAAATAAATACTAAATTAAAATATGGTAATTATTTTTATTTTTGCCGACGTTTCGACCCACTTTGCAGGCCGTCTTCAAGGCTTTAATTGTAAGTAAACAGATGGGACTGGTCTGATTGAGTCCCATCTGTTTACTTACAATTAAGGCCCTGAAGACGGCCTGCAAAGTGGGTCGAAACGTCGGCAAAAATTTAAATAATTACCTTATTTTAATTTAGTATTTATTTGACCGCACCCCCCCGATTAACTCCTTCTCATATTATATCAACGGTCAACCATCTGTACATCATTGCAAATAAAATATAATTTAACAAGTTGATGTATGATTTTTTGCAAAGTACCACAATACTACTTTTTAAATATTTCATTAAGTGGTTAATTACTTAAAATAAAAAAATTAAAGGTACTTTAATTATTATCTAATTATTAAAGGTAATATTAAAAATTAGCCGTTTAAGCCCTGTTAGAGAACATCAATGAGAATGAACTTTAATCAACATCGTGAGAATCGTTTTTGAGAAAATAGTAAAAATGTGTAACATCGATTAAATAAAGTACCACTTCCAGTTCACTTTCAAAAAGATATATTTGCAATAGAACATATAAAAATAATTAGAAAACCATATCTTTTTACCAAATTGTCTGATTTCCACGATATTTTTGGGCATTTCGTAAAATTTAAAAAACTATATACATTGACAAAAAGGTGTATACTTGTTGAGTTATTCGGAAATCTAATTTTACCACCCGTCGTAACTTCTTTTCGTTGAAGTACGTTATATAAATATATTTAAAGGGCATCGAAGAGAAGACTTTAGCCAAATTTCATTCAAATTGGTAGATTCATTTTATACCAACAGAGGTTTTTCGTCCACCATTTTGGAAGGAAAGGGCGGATACTAATGTCGAGGATCTTCCTCGATCAACCTCTATCTTTGATTCCCAATTTGAAAAAAAATCGATCCAGTGGTCTCGTAGAAATAACGGCGGACGGTCAAAATTTGTTTTATTAGATTTTTGGGTTCCACGTATCTTGAAACATAAAATTCAAATTTTGATGGGAGGTTAAATTGGGAGACGACTGCAATGGTTCATTATTGAAAATAATAAAGCAATAAATAAAATTAGAATTAAACCCACCCCCATACCAGACTGAAACAAGTTTCCGATTACTTCAGCACTTACTAGACTTACTTCAGACAAACGCTCTAAGCTTTCAATCAATTACAAACGACTTATATACATGACTATAATAAGACCTATTTGGACTTACGAAATTGAACTTTGTGGCTCCACTAAACCATCGAACTCCTCTCGTATCCAATCCAAAATCCTTCGTAAAATCCTCAATGCTCCTTAATTTGTCATAAATAAAATCTTCCATAAAGACCATAATGTTCCATATGTTTCCGATTTGGCCCAATCCAGATACCTATCCTTCCATAACAAACTGTAGAACCTTCCCAACCCTCTCGTTTCAAACCTTGCTTCCTCCTCGATCCCTGATAACCCTCCGAGGCGTCTGAAAAGAAGATGGCCTTAGGACCTTATAATATAGCAATATAATTTGAGTTCTACCAATGGGTAGTTTTTCTTCATGTTGTATATGTCATGTTACCAATGTCATATTTACTTGTTGTATTTTTCATGTAATGCAGTTGTAAATTTCATTAAAATAAATAAATAAATATATAAAAAAGAATTAAACCCGACGGAATTCGAACAGTTTACCGCTCGTTGGGTCCTAATTGATTGGCAAGGCAGGCACTGACCAGCTGTTCGATGAGGAAGGCAGCGGCCGGCGTGTTCAGGATGGTAATCGATTCTCGATCCTTCCATTTTACACAATCGCTGTGAGGAAGTATCTGATTCCAATGGCTGCGCATACTGAATGAACTAAGAGCCGTCATACCTTCCGCGTTTTATTATTAATTACGATTATTAACAAACCTAGTCGTGAATAAATGATATATATATTAACAAATATCCTTGCGTAAGCTATTGTGAAAGGTAGGTTTGGCGCTGGGTCGATAGCTCTGATTATCGATATTAGACGTATATATTGGCATTATACTGAAAATGTGTTTCACCGTTGATATAAAATGGCATTTCTAATTAGCCAATTTTAAGGCAAAAGTTGCTGTCACATCTAAGGCATATGCCTATCTTAAATACTTAATAATCAGTTTCGTACGATTTTTCGTTTTTGAGCTAGACTGCTAACATACACACACACAGACTCACAGACCATTTTTCGGGACTTAGTTATTTGGCTATTCTTTCTTATTCATAATTAAATATATGTTCTTTCAAGCCTCTCTTTGCCTATAGAGCTCAGAGACTGGAGTTATGTGATTCAAATAGACTAATGCACTTATAATGTGTTTATAGGCACAATTGATATAATAAATAGGATTTATGTTATTTTGATGTTCTCAATGAGTTTTGGTGTGTTTTTTTTTTTAATTCTTCCCTATCTCGCTGATTAGGCTTTGCAGGATTTCCCCGGGCCGGAGGGTGAGGGCGAGGAATTTTAAAATCCCCTCCGACACCGGGACGCGAACTCGTACTTATTTTTGTCTCTCAGAACTTCATATATCTGGTTGCCGGGCAACTCGCGGTGCTATGCACACGCTTTAGCCCATTCGGCCACCCACCCCCTGAGTTTTTGTGTTGATGAACATGACCGAAATTCAAAAATATGTTGTGTAAGATGTAGATGCATTAAAAATGCTCTGCAAAAACTTCTTGTAATAACCCCATTTTGCCAGATAAGTATTTGTTTTCGAAGTAGAGCGGTAAGTGAAAGTTGTGTGATGCGTGCAACAGATCTTTTTCTATTTAATGTTATTGTTATTTCAGAAAACGGCAAAATACCATATTTTTTAT